ACTAGCAGGTCCTTCCCCCTCAGCCTAGAAACACCACCCAGGTCACTGGCCCTCTGCTGTGACTTTTCTCATCCCAGTGCCCCGTGTGCCCTAGGTGGAACTTCACTCCCACCCCTCATCCCCACACCCCATCATCGGCAATTTGGCTTCTCAACTGAGGAGTTCGGGTTTCTCTCTCCAGAAAAGGGGAGCTGGGGGAGGATTTTAAGCAGGGCGTTGTTTACAGATTTACGTTTTAGAAAGATCACTGTGGCTCCTGCGAGGAGGAGGGACTGTAAGGGGCTGGAATTGGAGCGGAGGACAGACGTTCTGAGGCTATTGCAATGGTCCAGGCGAGACTTGAGACCTGAACTAGAGCGGATGGGAGGAGTGGATTGAGCTATTTGGGAGGTGAGTGGAATGCAGTGACTGGATTGGGAGGTAAGGGTGAGGAAGGCGTCTGGGATGACTCCCAAGTTTCTGGCCTTGGACAACAAAAATGGGTGGAGGAGGGCCAGGTTGAGAGTGAAGACGGTCGACAAACTCAGCTTTGGATTTGCCCAAGTTTAAGTTGCCTACGAGACATGACCCTCCAGAAGCTTCCGCTCCACAGACCATGGAGTTCTGAGAATGTAGTGAAAAGCTGACGCCTTGACGGTTTGAGTTATAAGACATGCAAGGCAGTTGCTCTGACTTGGCAGCTCTGATTCCATTTTAAAATGGCTCTTTTTACATTATTGTTTACATTGGGTTTGTCACTTGGAACTAAGAGATCTATGTTAAACTCACTGATTTGTATTTGCAGAATTTCTCCTTTCCCATTTATTGAAAATCAGTACTTTTGCTTATCTCCAAAATTCCTCTTCCCCGTAATTTAACAATGCTCGTATTGGTTATTTTGGACTACAATTCTACATTCCTAATATCTTTCCCTGCCCTGTTCCCATACTGCTATGGAAGCCATTTGAGATGAAAATCTGTCCATTATTTGCTTACTTAAAATCCTTCAGACTCTTCATCACATACAGGCAAAAACTCAAATTCTTTCATGATTTAATCCCTACTTACCAGTCCAAATGAAACCCACCCTTCATTAATACTGGACTACTTGTAACTCCCTCTAAAAGCGATGGTACAAGTTTGGTTATGCAGTTTCCCATCTCTTAAGCCAATTCAAATTCAAGCCTTATCTTCTCCAGGAAGCCACCTCTGACTGTCCCACAGAAAACTAAGGGCCCACAACTTGTATATAACTTTTATTGCATATATGGCCCTTTAGTACTATTGATTTGTCTATTTATCCCACTGGTCTGTAAACTCCATGACAGGATCTTGCTTTATTCATCAATGTCACTAGCTCTGCATGGTATGGGACAAAAAATACATGCTCTGTGATTACCGAACAGAACTGACAGTGGTTTAGCAATTCTAGTTCCACTGTGAATTGGAACCTTTTCAGAAAAGGATCTGTAGATCGATCTTACCAATTTGGGGCTTCCAAATTAGTCCCAACTTAACAGTTCAAGTATGATTTTATGACAGGAGCAATTAAAAGTCCAGTTTTACTTTATGATTTTCAGTGCAATGCCTTTAGTCCCAGGAAATGGGTCTATCCCTACTGCATTTTACTTTTTTGCCCTGAACTTTAGGGGCTTTATCTTGAGATTCTCTTATCTTCACTTATGTCGATTAATGACCACTCCCAGCTTCATTTTATTTCCATCTGAGCTAACTGCAAAAGACTCCTTAGGTAGGTTACCAGTAAAAAAATTAATTGCAGTCATTTTATTTTATAAAGCCTACTAGCACAGCATTTTTATAAATGCAACCGAGAAACCTGCCTCGCTATGAACTAGCTATTTCAAGTCTGAGCTTTTGTGAGTTAAAAACACTGAAAAATTCCTAACATACCTCTCAAATGCCACCTCCTCCGTGGGGTTGCTCTATGGATTAAATGATATAACTTGCTAAAGAACTCCCCTAAAACAGGTATGTTCCTCTAAAGAAGGAATATTCAAAGTGCTGGTCAGCCACAAGGAGCTTGGCCAGAATCTGAATCAATAATCTACTTACTTCATTTAGCAAATATGCTACAAAAAAAAAGTCAGCTGAGCTAAAAGTACACTCAGATACTTACATTCTGGTGAAGACCCCTTATCTTTTCAGAGAACAGAAAAAGCTCACAGAGCAGTAGCCAATCCAAGCTTTCGGACCATCCAGTATCTTTTAAACAATTTTGCTACGAGCTCTGAACCCTCAAGTAAAATCCAGTAACTTTTCCCCAGCCTCTCTTGTAGCTAGGAGAGAGATATGTGACCTAGGATCTGCCAGAAGCATCCACGTAAGTTTTTGATTAGGAAGACACACAAAAGAAAGTGCTAAGTAAAACCCTTTATTCTCCTCAGGACAGATTTAGTTTTTGGGAGGAGCTGAGACAGAGATTGACATCTAGTGGTCAGCAATAGCAGTGCAGACTGTAGTGCCTAGACCTCTTCCCACAGCAAAGTGGGTTATTTGCTAGAGAAGGCCCAAGGCGAGGTTTGGATTTTTGTTTCTGGCTGTGTAGCTTTGAAGCTCGACTGGCTCTTACAAAAATTATTTGGGTTACTCTACTATTTATAATGTTTGAAATAGCTTTCAATTTTAGTTATTTAGACATCCTTACAAACTTAACATTTTCATGATCAATATTAAGCCTACCGAAATAAGTCCAAAAACTCCAAAACTGATTGTAACTTAACCATATCTTATGCACAGTGAATGTTAACCCATGTTGTTTAGCCACATTGTTTTTAATTTTAACTTTACTCAAAAGAGATCAAAACAATTCTAGCACTATTTTGAACCTACCTAAAATTAGTTATCTATACTTTGGTCCTCTAAAAGGAACTCTTTCCTACAATCATGAAAAATGGCTGCCTGGGGGAAGGGGGAATGTCTTTCAGATATGCTGAGCACTCAATATCAAGATCAGAAAAATTAAGGAGGCCAGTCTCTCTTCTTCCTTTATCTCAGTCTCACAGCCAGGAGTGTATAAAAGGTCAGGAGCTTGTTTAGCATGGTAGGAAGGAAACTACTTATTTTTTGTCTCGGATAAGTTTTAGCCACTGTAATCAGAGACATAGTTTGTTCCTTGTGTGTGTGTGTGTGTGTGTGTGTGTGTGGCGGGGAGGAATGCTGGTATTATAAGATCCCTAAATAGATTACTCTGTGGCCCGTGCAGAGGATGGCATGCAGGAGGAACAATCTAGTTACGACACTGCTTGAATAGGAGAGGGTTGAATAGAGACTGAGAGGCAGGTCAGGAGCGAAGTTTATTTAGGAACTTCCCTTCTAAGAATTAAGAAAACATATTAGCTACTAAATGATAAAGACAACTTTCCACAGAAGTTGCAAAAATCTCAAGTTATACAAATACTTTAATCAGTCATTTCTTTTTTAATATATTTTATTCTGATGGAGTTACAAAAGTAGATACAAAATATTTTTTTAAAGTACAGTTAAATGACTTAGAAAAATAGATAAAGCCCCTAAAGGTTTAAAAACATAACACAAATTTTCATGTAAAGGACATTTAAAAATATTTTAGGTGGTAACCAAGACTAACTTATGCAAGCTATTTAAGCTATTTTTGAAGTAGATCAAACACAGAATGTTGTTCTATAATAAATCTATAGCACACTGGCAATCCATTTGGATTTACAGAATACTTGTTTGAAATAGAATCTGATGAGAGAAAAAAGTGAATTTCAATGCAGCTGCTTCGGTAAAATTACTGCTATCGTATGTAACATCCCCCAAAAGCCTTAACTGTCGGAAATATCACACAAAAACACAGGAAGACTGCAGTACTGCTATTTTCCCTCTTTGCCAGATTTCTGTAACAGTATAAACCAAATGCTCTTACTAAATAGATATCAAGAGGAAATGACATCCCTGTTGAAGGCGCTCAGTTTGGTGTCCCAGCTGGCATTTTTCAGGCCAGAGTTCTACAAAGAGACAGCCTCCGAGAACCAGGCAGGGCTAACACCAGCGTCGTGACTGGGGTTGCTCGGAAACAAACTTCTCGGACTCATCCTCTTTGGGCCTGATTTGTACATGCTTATTGAGGTAATCGTGTTAAGTTCAGAAGCTCCACTTCTAGTATAACCTTGTTGCTCAGAGAAAAGGCCAACGGTATAATCAGGAAACCTCAACAATGTTTGCAAAAGTTTAATATCACTACCACGATTGCTCCTGCTTTGCACTACTAGGAAAACTTTCCTTTTGTTATCAGAGTCATGATGAATACAGATTTGCATTTCTTGGGCAGGCAGCTACATGAGCTAGGACTCTACAAGTCTAAGATGAAAGGAAATACTTTCTTAGCTGGCAGCCCTCTAAAATCACTTTATTCAGTCTGGAGAAGGATACATCTGTTTGTCAACACAGGAAGTAGTACAAGGAAGTTTCAATATTTAAACAAAAATATGCACATCACTGCCAAAGTTTTTTTAAAGGCTTGGAAATAAAAGCACCAAAGGATTAACTGCATAATGTACAAAACACTCCCCACCCCATGACAGTTATCAGGTGTGAGGCACAGCAACTGGACAGAGGAGATGACTTGTGATTAGGAGTGGGCACAGGAGAGATTGTTGTGGAAGAGGCAGACCCTGGGCAATAGGGAGATAAATCAAAAGTGAGAGGTGTCAAAGGCAGACTGATTTCTTCCAACTCTTATCAAATATTGGCCCTCTAGTGAAGTCAGTAAGGGGTCATTCTCTCCTCTTCCTCCAATTCTGCCCTCAACTCCCTAGCCTTGGATATAAACAACATTAATACAAATATTTAGCTGCATTGGTGGTTAAGCCAGATTAGTTTGGGAACCTGGTAATGTTTGCTTGCTTGTTTTAAAAAGTCCGTTCTGAGTCTCAAATTACCAACAATGTTATTTGTTTCATTAATAAGCTGCCTTTACTACTATTCTAACATGACCATCTTTGGTTTGTTTTGGGGCTGTCATGAAGAGAGGATTTCTACACTGAAAAGAACTGGAGAAAAGTGAGCACCCTTTTGAGAATATTTAAAATAGAAAAGATGACAAAGGTACAACACTAGTTGAGTATCCAATTTCATTCTTTGCAGACTTAATTAAAGTCAACAAGGTTTAAAGTCAAGATGCAGTAACATTTTAGGTCACATCTAGAAACCTGCTTATTTGTAAATGATCAACATAAACATACAGACAGGATGACAGGGACCTTTGAATAAACTTAAACCATGAATTGTGGAATGTCTCATAGAGGGCTTTTCTCTTTTTTTCATAAGTGATTATCTCACTCTTTAATTCCTGAAACAATGAGGTATGGCTTCCACCTAAATCAGATGAAATGTTTTGTTGCCTTTAAAATTCCATATATGTTTAAGAATTTATTGAAGTTATTATAAAAATGGAGTTTCTAAGCAATTCTTTTCTTTAAACTCTGATGGAATAATAAAAATAAATAACAAAAAACCCTATCAAGGCTAACCTTTTTCAAAGCCATCAAGGAAGTTGGTGAGCACTTTGCAAGTCACAGCTCTGAAACAATGCTGATGAACTTAAAGTGGTGGGAGTCTGGCAAGGCTTGAGTATACTTGTGCCTCAACAGTCAACTAGAGATTACTAAATCCTAGAAACCTAATGAAAATCAGATCTTTTCTTACTAAAGGGAAAGATTCTCTTTACCTAATAGAAATAGAATAATTTCAAGTTTTGATACAAAAACAATTAAAACAGGATAAAACGCTTATGGATGTTCAATCCATCCTTTGACTACTAACACAAGATTTTTTTTACATATTCCTCCTAGTCTATCTCCTTTAGACATAAACACACACAATTAAAAAATAGGTAACACACCAAACTTTTAGCTGTGTTATAAAATGTATACACCTTTCAAGGCCTTTTTTATTGCGGTTTTCCTTAAGTTTTATCCTTATTGTGATAAAGTTCGTGCAGTTCTACACTATTCAGTTAACTAAGTCTTAAGTCACAATAAAAACATAGAAATAATTTTTTAAAAAAGGAAGCTCATGGGTACTTTCTTCCATTCTCCTACCCTTTCAAGGCAACGTGAATGAAAATCACTATTTTGAGATCTGAACTTGTCATAATTTTTTGGAAGTTTTTTTCCTCAGCCAAAGCTACCTATTAAAATTAATCTGAATGAAGTATTTCAAAATACAAATCTATAAGATGCCTTAAAAAATTATTTCTGATACTATACTCCAAACATTTAGATAGGTTCATATGTGAATAAAATCCCAAATAAAGATTAAAAAATAAAGTCATTTAGAAATAACTGATTACTCCCATACATGTCATATGATTTACATTGAAATCATGGATTTTGAAAAAAGATACAAACATGTATTATCAATAAAAACACTAGTATACAACAACTTCAAACTAGATTATCCAAAGTGACACAAATGTTCTAAATCTTAAGGAAACTTAAAAATGTCTCTTTTTGTTAAATGTCTAATTTGTTAAAAAAAAAAGGGGGGGGGGCAGGAAAAAACCAATCTAAGTATGTTAGGAAATTTGTGGAGAAACTTGTTACTAAATTATTGGTAGAAATTCTTAATATACATTATGCTATAACCTGAAACAGTTTAAATCATTTTCTTCAGTAAAAAAAATAATAATAAGTAAATTGATAAACTACAGTTTAATAATCACATGTAACAGAAGTGTGACTCTGTGACAATAAAAGAAGTGGTCACATAGTGCCTCAGATGTGGCTATGTCCTGAATTTCTCACTCTGAAGATACTGGGCCGACCTACCTTTAGGACAATTTTTATCAGCAGACACAGACAAAAGGTGTCTTTTTATCCTGTTTTCTTAAAGTTTGTATCACTGGTCTATAACAGATAGCAATGAGAGAGCTCTAGCAGTAGGTGAAACAAGAGGGTAACTGTGTTCTAGAAGAAATATTTATCTGTCTTTCGATCCAAGCTTCTCAATTAATTCCTGAAGAGGTGCCAACTCACGCCTATCAATCAGATTAAACTCCTAAAAGAGAAGAAAAATAAAATTTAAAAATAGATTTGAAGTTAAAACTCTGTAAATGTAATTCAGAGAAATTTCCAATCTCTAGTTTTCTGAAATCCAAAAGAATGATGGCATGATCTGTGACCATTTTAAAACAGGATTTTTATTCCTTTTCTTAAAATATAGGAGACTTACAAAATAAGTAACTGTGCGTATTAGCTTGATACTCACTATGTAAAACATTAAAATCAAAATTGTACATGCTTGCATTTATAAGACATCTGAAAACTGTACATTGGACCTTTGATAGTGGACACCTCTGGGGCAGTGGATCTTTTTGTTTCATATATCTACATCCATATCTATACTATACCTCTATCTATGCCATGCAACAATCTCAGAAGGAAAATAGAAAGAGTACAATACATTCCCCTTTGTGTGACATACAGAACTGCAATACACAGTATTTTCTATAACGCTACTAGTTTTTCCACCAAAAAATGTTATCTGGACATACTATACTTATATATTTTGCACATAGAATGATATATCTTTAAAGTGAGGCTAAAGAAGTCCTGATTCTCTGATATCTTTTTGAAACAATGTGAATTATTTTGATTTTAAAAAGTACCAGTTCCAACTAAGGACCCATAAGACAACGAGCCACATTTCCGAAGGGGGTTGCTCGGTTTTAAGTTTCTAGCTGCTGATTTCAAAAGTTTTGGCCTGAGGTGAGACTTCTGGAAACTTAACCCATGATAGCAACTAACAGGTTATTCCAAAAGTTTCTTTTCCAGGTAGAAACATCTCATGAACAACCCAACTGCAGAAATATTTCAAAGCATCTTTTCACCCAGCAGTGGTGATGGAACAGAAGGGTACAGACAAACTGTCTTAGGTCATATCCTAACCAGAGACCTGGGCAGCCAGAGGCAGAAAGCCCCAAATGTGGGGGTGGGGAGGTGGGGAGTGTGTGTGATTATTTCTATACTGTTATGTATATCAGTGAAATAAACAATGTGGAAAAGAGAACCCTGCTATACTTAGCTCTACATCTCTAAATAAGACTCTATAAATTGCTCCTTATCAAAGCTACCAAGCCAAATGTGTCAACTTACCTGAACAAAGAAAATAAAGTGCTTAAATGAGGTGTTGAGATGGGCCTCCTCTTGCAGCTGCATCACAGAATCAAAGTGCTGGTGATAAATATGGGCATAAACCCTGAACAGACGCTTAAGAATGGTCTTTGCCACAGACATAAAGTTTTTGGGAAATGGGACACCTATAATCAAATATACATGTATATCTGTTAGTCTTTTTATCTAATTGAACAGCAGAAATTTCAGGCATGGCCATGAACAACTCCAACACAAACACACATTCACAACACAAGCCTATTTACACATTTTTTAAAAGGCAAGGGAAAAACCTAAGTATATGAGGTATGCTCACATATCACGCTTTTTCTGACTGCCTTAGAATAGCAGGAACAGGTTATCAAAAGTTATATAAGCTGCTACTGAATCAAAGTTAAAATAAACATAATTTTGATGTTTAACACTGAAGAGCTTCTCTCTAAGATTAAACGCAACAAGAATAAGTATTTTGACTATAAATAGAAAATTTTACTTTTTGTAATTTGTAACTATAAAATAAATTTTGCACACTCAACCGGGACTGGAAACTCTCCTAAGCAAAAGAAAAAAATTAAAGGCACATCCTGAGTCATCATAATCTACTGTTTACAGATAGAAAAGTATTTTATCTTCTGAATTACTCTGAAGAGCCAGTTTTCTTTCTTAAACTAGGAGTCCCCAACTTTTTAATTTTTTTAAAGTACTATTTTCATTTTCCTGTAGTCTAAGAAGGGGATATACTTTCTGAAAAAGGAAGGGTAGGCTCCCTATTTTTCAAAGAAAATAAACGCCTCCCTAAAAAAACTGGGTAATCTCTCTCCAAACAGTGCAGGTAGGGATGTGACTGTTTACATTTATGAGAATATTAGTTGACAAGACCAAAGTATCTTAGAAGGCAGGGACAGAAGAAGGACAATACAACTGGCACTGTAAATAAACCCACAAGAAGGCACCTGCTTGCAAATAGTCTAGATTAGTTGGCCTTAGAGATCTATTCCAAACATTACTCTTGAAACATTTTCCTTCTTTAATCTTTCAATGGATAAAGGCTAAAACACTTTATCCTTTCCTGCATTTTAATTTCTCAATCAGTCCTTAACAGCTTGAAATTTAGTATATTTTGCTCTTATAACCTGATTTTCTTGAGGGTTTCCCCAACCTCCAAGTGTTAGCTAACAACTTGCCCTTTCAGACATTATTCTGGAACTCATGGGTATGTTACTCTGAACTGGCTCTTGTGTTCATGTACTGAAAAGATGTACTTTAAGTCAAACTCCTTTTCTCTCAGAATTTACAAATAGGCATCTTGATAATAAAAGGAACAGTAATAACTTGGGTATACTAGTTTAAAAATAAAGTTTCATCTAATATGAATAAGTAACTGACAAAAGATGTGGATAATAGCCTAATGAAGTAGGAAAGAATTCCAGAACATTAAGATAAATTATTAAAAAATGGGAAGCTGAGAAAATAGAATAAAGCTAAAAGTACTCTTTATCCTCCATAAGAGGAAAACTTTAATGAATAAATATCATGTTTTAATCTAAGCAATTTTTCCAAGCTCAGTTTAACAGAAACATTCAAGCATAGTCAATATACAATAATGAATCTGTGAGAAAGAAAATAAAAGGTTTAATAGAATGAAAAAGTTGACCAATGGCAAACAAACAATATGATACAAAATTTTCTCCTGAAAAAGCTTGTAATTAAACTGTAAAAAAAGGAATCTGCTATAGTCTGAATATTTGTGTCTCCCTACTGCAAAATTCATATGTTGACATCCTAAGCCCTGGTGATGGCATTAGTAGGTGAAGCCTTTGGGAGGTGATTAGGTCATGAAGGCAGAGCCCTCATGAATGGGCTTAGTGCCCTTATAAAAGAGGAAGGAGAGAGACTGCCCTTCTACAATGTGAGGACTAGGTAAGAAGTTAGCAGTCTGCTCCCAGAAGTGGACCTTCACCAGAACCCAACCCTGCTGGAGCCATGATCTTGGACTTTCAGCTTTCAGAACTGTGAGAAATAAGTTTCTATTGTTTATACGCCACCTAGCCTCTGGCATTTTTGTTATGGCAGCCCGAACAGACAATACAGAATCCAACAATGTGTTGTTCATAAGACATCCTTAAACCGAAAACAACAAGGACTAATCTCATCCATGAATACCAATGCCAAAATCTTAATAAAAATATTAGCAACTAAAAAATAGTCTTCCAGGAGAACATTAAAAACCTTATAGCCATCAACAACAGATACTGGAAAAATATCTGATAAAACTCTATGATCATACCTGACTTAAATCCACATACCTCTAATCAAAAGCAAGATTCCTGCTTCATTCTGAAATACTAGAAGCACTCACATAAAAAATAACAAGAAAAAGATGTTTGCCATCATCACCGTAAGTCAGCACTGCTCGGTAGATACACCAGCTGGTGCAGTTAGGTAAGAGTTACACAGGAATACGTGTTAGAAAGAAAAAGGCAAAATTATTATACTTAAAAAACTCAAGAAAACCAACTCAAAACAACAGAAACAACCAAAATCTGATGGTCAACTATAACATTTATATAAAAATCAACAGCTTTTCTATATACTAAACAGTAACAAGTTGGAAACCAGATATCAATAAAAAAAAATATTAAATGTCTAGGATAAACTTAAGAAACCCAAAGGATAAGCACAAACTAAACTATAGAATTTTATAAGAGAAAATAATAAGAGACATGAATAAATGAAGAAATACACCTTGTTCTTGGCTAGGAAGACTCAGTATTGTCAAGAGAATCAGAAACCCTATATTAATCTACAAACTGAATGAAACCATAATCAAAATCTCACAAAGATTTTTTTTTACCTTGACAAAATGATTCTAAGTTCTTTGGAAGAACAAATATCCCAGAATAGCCGTGAATATTCTGAAAAAGAAGAGCACGGAAAAGAGACTAGCCCTACAAGATGCTCCAAGGTACATGGCTATGGTTAATTAAAACCGTCATTTCTATAGGAACAGATAAAGAGATTAAGAGACTCCAAAATATGTGGCAATTTGATAATTGGGAGAAAAGACACATGTATTTGATAAATAGTACTGGACAAACTGACTAGCATTTATAACTGGAAAAAAAAATGAAGGAAACATTGAGAAAAAAAATTCCTGATAGATTTAAATGTAAAAACAAAACCACAAAAATATTAAATGAAAATATGGTCAGATATTTTTATAATACTGAAGTAAGGAAAACCTTTCTAATCACTGATTAAAATCCAGACATCATTAAAGAAAGGATTAATAGGATAAAATAAGAATGTTATATGTAGCAAAAACACCTCATAAACACAATAAGACAAAAGGCAACCTTGGGAAAAATACGCGCAACATGTATGACAAAGAGCTAGATCCTTAACATACAAAGAAATGAACAAAGGATATAAACAGAAAACACACAATGATCAATAAACCAAAAAATGCTCAATCTCATCAATATTTTTTAAATGTACCTTAAATTTCCCAAATTATAAAAGATTTAAAAAATGAGTAACAACTGCTACTGGTGAAGAAACACAGGCAGATACAAACATGTCTGAAGGGAGTATACATTTATAATCTTTTTGGAGAGAAATTTAGCAATCTGTCACATTTTTTAAAGTGATAGAGCTTTAAAAAGAACATGTTAATTATTTAAAAGAAAATCAGTTCTATAACCCGAACTCACCAATCTTAGAAGGAAAAAGAGTTTCATCATCAAGCTGATCCTGAACCCAAGTCATCAAGTAGTCAATGTATTTTGGTGCAGAACATTTGATTGGCTTTTTAATATTAGTACCATCTGCCCAATGATATTCATATCTGAAGAGAAAAAAGATTTTACTGATAGTTTTCAAAAACATTAACAAATTGCAACTTGTAATCAAAGTAGGTTCACATTTTGTCAACAGAAGTTATATAAACCTTTAGTAAATTACCTAAACTTCTACTGAAGGTTACGGTGAGTTTCCTATAGAACTATTCTGAAATGTGATGGTTATAATTGGAAGAGAAAAGGAAGATAATGTGGCAGCTGGCAGTGCCAGAATAGATGTTTTCTGACAGAGCCCTGGGACAGATAAAGGAACTGCATTCTTGTCTATTAGGCAGAGAGTGCTGAGGACTGGGGAAGGGGATGATGGATCACCACATTCTGAGATCCTTGGCCATCAAATTATCACCAATAGAGTCAAGATTATAAAATCCTGTTTCTTGGAGAGGATGTAAAGAAATATCCTTAGGTATGCCACCTTTTTCCTATTCATATTTGCTGAGCTAGAATGATTAACAAGACTTACACAAAACTTCACTGTGTAAAATGTTTAAGCCATAGGTATGCTTAATTTTCCTACTTATTTTGTTTAAATTTCTTTTAAGGAAGTTTGAAAAATAAAACTTGAAACAACACAAAATAAAACATCTCTCCTAAAATACTATAATCATAATTGGACTATGAACTCATTGGGGACCTATTTATCCTTTATACCTGTAGCGAATTTAGAAAGGACTTTTTTTCCCATGAGGTAAACATCTTGATACCATCTATTATCACATAAAATCAGTCATTTGCTATAGGAAAGACTTAAACACACTAAAACATTAATCTCATCATACCTTGAGGATATTATGGGTGACAAAGAACTCCATCTCTTTCTCAATATTTCTTGAAATTTATTATAGTCAAATGTTAAAATCTAGCATCTTTAAGCCAGATAACAAAAGCAGCACAATTTAGAAGTAATTAACACTGAATAACCACAAGAAAAACTAATCGAATATTAGTCAACCAAAAACTTTCAAGAAATTAATTTAAAAACCAGAAACAGAACCATACTGTTAATAAAATTGAAAAAATAACTTGCAATGCCAGATAAACCTAACTAAATTTTTTTTCCTTTTACTCCTACAATTGAACATTCATACTTACTCTAATGCAATTACAAAATAAAACACTAAGTACCAAATGCCAAAGTATTTAATAATAACTAAAAGCTTATAGATAAGTATTCAAGAACTCGTAAAATTGAACTGCTTTTACACAAGCAAATAGAGAAAAACAAAGTCTTCATTATTTAATTTCTATCAATCAGCAATTAGCTTTATTTAGTAATTCAAATACCTATATAATAGGTAGCAATATGTACCTTGGACCTGCAGACATGACTGGACAGCTTGCTTCAGTGCAGAATTCTGTAATAGTTCCGTATAACATGTTGATCTGGTTGAAGAAATCTACAGCTGAAAAGATAATAGCAGAATTGTATTAAAGTGTCTGTGTGAAAACAACAAAGCATCAGACCTGTCAGTTGAAGGATAAATAGATAATGCATTGCGATTTTTGGCTGAATCCTTGAGAAATTCAATAATCCAGGATACTGTAAATTCTCTTTGTACATTGTCATATCTAAGTTAATCTTTTACATATATTCGCTTTTAATATCCTAAGCTTTTCACCAGCATATAATATCAGAAAAATAAAAATTAGAGATAATTCTAACTTAATGTTGACTATTATGTCATTAGCATATATAATTTGATTCCATCCTAGGGAATGAAAAAAACCATAGCTTCTTATTAATCTGGACCAAACAATACCATTTGTTAGAAAAGTGTTATAGAATATACTATGAGGTAGGCAATGTATCAGCTGCTATTAATAGGTATTTAAAAAATCTAATTCATCATAAAGAATTGAGGCCTAATGCATACTGAGGACATAAAAAACAGAGGATAATGTCCCTTGCCCTGGAGCCTCCAAACTAACAGGAAGAACAAAATTACCAGAGATGAATAATACAACATATAAGGTAGTACCCAAAGGCCAACAATAAGTGCAAGAATTCAGAGAAAAGGCAACATATTGAGGAGCTGAGGTGCAAGGAGTACTTCCTAAAGGAGCTTCAGCTTGATCTGGAAGAAAATGGAAGAGGTTGGGAATGAGTGAAACAACTTCACTGAGTGAAACATATTCTGTGCAAGGAGAACCACATAAACCTTAAAACCACACAAGTTTTCAAAAATATTTTAGTTCCCTGTCTAAACGAGTACCTAAAAATCCACTAGGGCTTTTCGAGTTTCTTAAAAAACAGATTAAAAAGTTCAATTTGTCAAAAGGAATTTTGTACAAAACTCCCTTTTATAAACCTTTCTCTTAATTAGTCATGTTTCTAAGAAAGTAATACTTCAGTGTACAATATTCATTCAAAACAAAGAGTATGCCCGGTAGTGTGCTAGTTTATTGGTCTAAAGCAGCTGTTCTCCAAATGTGGTCTAGGAATTCCATGTTTCAGGGGGAACCTGTGAGGTTGGAACACTTTTAATTGCTCTTTTCATTCTCATTCACTCAGGAGGCACAGTGGAGTTGGCACAGAGGCTCCATAATCACATCGCAACAGACTGAATGCAGAAGCAGACAAATGAATCCAAGCTCTCTCCTATTAAGCCAGACATTAAGATTTGCAAGCATGTAAAATAATGCCATACTTCTCACTAAAATTTATTCTGGAAAATAGTCATTTTTCATTAAAAAAATTTATACACACACACACATACAGGTAATGGGTTTATTATTGCTATTTTTAAAATAGTATTTAAAATTTCTCAGTTTTAATTTCTAACACAGTATCACTCATATAACCTATATAATGAAAAGCTCTTTGGGATTATCAATAATTTTTAGGAGGATAAAGGGATTCTGAGACCAAAAGAACTGAGAACAGCTGATCTAGACCAATAAGTCTCAAAGGAAAATCTAAGACTAAAAGGCCAATAGATGCCTTCAGAATAAAAAAAATGATAATTTGAATAAGGTTTAAAAAAAAGTTTTTCTTAATACATAATACTTCACATGGTCCACATATCAAGATATACAGAAACATGCAGTGAAAAAAATCTGAATTCCAGCCACTCCAAATCCCCTCCTACACACAAGCAACTACTATATTAATTTTTTGTTTCTTCCCACCTAAGTTTATCTTGTTTTACACAAAAATATAACATATTACATAGTTCTGCATCTTGTTTTTTTTCTCTTAGTAATATGAATAATGGCTTTTTAATGAGTTGAAAAAAGTTTTTCTTAATGTGGCTACTAGAAAATTTTAAATTACATTTGTAGATTACATTATATTTCTATCAGATAGTGCTGACCAAGTCAACAATTATCAATAGCTGATTAACACCACATAAAAGACAACTAGACACTATGGGAGTATCTACACGACTGGAAGTATATACCACCATCTATGAAGTAGCCTTACAAACCAACAAAATCAAATCTGACTGATCTGAGCTCCTTATCTGTGCTAATACAGTAGCCACTAGCCACATGTGGCTACTTAAGTAAAATTAAGTTGAAATACAAAATTCAGTCACATTAGCCACATTTCAAGTGCTAAAAGGCCACAGTAAAGATATGACAGCATTTGCATTATCACAGAAAGTTCTATTAGACAGTGCTGCTCTAGATCTAACATTCTAGAGGAAATAAGAGGAACAGAACATCATAATGAATGCCTTGAGGATAATTCACACTGGAACAAAAATGAACTGGTTTCTTCAAGAACAACAAAACAAGGAAAAAAGACTATGAGGGGAAACCTATTAAGAGATTCAAGAAATATATGTACAGGCCTTCCTGGATGCTGATTCAAGCTAACCACATGTTTTATAAAAAGAAACATTTATAGGATAATCAGGGAAAATATGAACACTGATTAGATATTGTAATGTAAAGGAATGATGGTATTGTCATGATTATGTAAAGGAATGATGGTATTGTCATGATTTTTGATAATGTAGAGGAATGATGGTATTGTCATGATTTTTCAAATAGGAATTGTTTTAGATACTGAAGTATTTATAGATAAAATAATATATCTGGGATTCGCTTCAAATTAATCAGGATGAAATATATAGAAAAATCATGAACTGAACATGAATCAATAATTGTTGAAGCTGGTTAATGGCTACCTGGAAATTCGATGTACCCGTTTCTCTACTTTTATAATTTGAAATTTTCCATGAAAAAGTTTAAAAAATTCCTGTAACAGCTGAAATTCTTCATAGATTTAAACCTTATCACCCAGAACTTATCTCAGAAATGATACACTCTAATATTCAAATGTCTAGCCTCAGCATTCCCTTCCATGTCATACCCCTGCTTTCTTGAAGTCAGACTTTCAGTTCATGGGTCCCTCCATTTTCTCTCAATCTCTCAATTTCCTATGACTAATCCTAAATCACAACAATCAATCGACTGATGATCTAAATTGCAACTGACTTTTCTGTATACATGGGCAGATGAGAGTTGTTGGAAATAGGAGCACAACTCTAAAGATTGGTTATCCTACAAAGTCATGGACTAACACAGGTAGAATCTTTGCATTTACCAATCTTTTTACTGACCTTACTCAGCTCCATTCTCCCCAGAAATTACTCCAAAGCACTCATCATTTCTGTTCAGGTCTCTCGACTCAATCACAAAAGCTACAACCAAGTATCTTGAAGAGAACACTACAGTTTTGGATGTATTTGTACTTACGTGTTTCTTTACAGATAATCTACTATATTACAAACCTTGTATCTGTAAAAGAAAATTCATTAACAACAAAATTTTAGCAAAATCTTCCTATAAACCAGCAAAGTAGAATGTTATTTAAAACTTACTGTTCACGGCAATCCATTCATTGAGATCCTCTCCCTCTGGTAACATAACGGCTTGTCTCAGATTCCCACTTCCTAGAGTTGCCTCTGCATGTTTTAAGAGTTCATACTGATGAGACCCTTCAGGGATATTCTTC